CTAAAAAGAATAATCTACTTTATCTATATTTTAAAGGGATGAAAATTGATCAATGTTAATTGCTAGTTTATTTTTATAACTTCCTGAGTTAGTTTTCTTGGAACTCTCCATGTCTAAGTATATTTGTTCTATACATTCTAATTTGTCCTCAAAAATCACTTTTGAAGAACCTTTTATGAAAATTGAATTATAATTGCAACTTATCTGTTGCATTTGGTATATCTGCCTAATAAACAAATAAATATCCTCATCAGTTAGAATTAGCTTTGGCCATATTTTTTGAAACGAATCACCAATGTTCCTATAGAATTGTACCCCTTTAAAGCTCAACAGTTTACTTCAATTTTGTACTGATCAGTTCCTAAATGAGGTCGCAAAACTATGCAACGGATTTGGCTAACCTTTGTTACTATTTGGGCCTTTTTAGGGTATCTTTCGACTTTTTTCGAGATTTTTAGTGGGCTAGAATTATTTATAACGTTATGCTTTTGGTTATTTGCTAAGTTTGAGACATTTTCTAATTTTTCTAATGTTGTCCCAATAGATCTCTCAATTTTAAATCATGTCTCTTTTTATCTTTTTATACTTCATTTTCCATGTATTTATTTTATTTCAACTATTTTATTATTAAAGCAAATCTATATTTTCTTACGTCTATTTTGAGCTTTACTTTTACATACTTTTTTCCCAATAAACTTCATGCTTCAAATGATTCATTCCTTTTACAAAACAAGCATTATTTGCTAGCGTTAATCACTTCAGATCCCGAACACCGGCAGCTGAATTCCGGTACGGTGAACAAACCCGTGCCACTCCGCTGCCCTTGGTATCCCCTCGTTCAAAAACACCTGCACCGGTTCCCGGTGGACGACACGAAGCTGAATCAACAACGATGCAACCTAATCGAGCACAGACTCTACAGAGAGTAAGATTATAAAAAATTAGAATATTCATACATATTTCTTCTTACGGTATTGGACCTTTCCTCAATTTTTTAAGCTATTGGACTTGAAAACTTAAAGTTGATCCTTAAGCAGCCAAACGTAACACCTGCCGACACTTGGGATGGAGCCCCGAGGATGAAACCCTCTT